CCGAGAATTCCCTCCCAGTTCTTGATTTCTCCCCAGAATTCCCCGCCCCAGCTCTGATTTTTCCCGGAATTCCCGAATTCCCGGCTGTTTTCCAGGTGGCGCTGTGGAACGACTCCGTGCTCTGGATGCACACGGATCCCGTGTCCCGAAGGAACCAATCTGTGGAGTCCCAGGTGAGGCAGGGACCCTGATTTCCCCTGAATTCCCAAATATCCCAGATTTCCCTGAATTCCCAGAATTCCCATTTTTCCCATTTTTCCAAGGTTCAGACTCTCCTGGACACTCTGATCCGTTACGGTTCCGGTTCCAGGGTTTCCCTGCAGGAACAGGGGTTTTCCCATTTTTCCCATTTTTCCAGGTCCTTACTCTCCTGGCTGCCCTGACCCATTTCGGTTCCAGTTCCGGGGTTTCCCTGCGGGAGCCCGGTGTTTCCCATTTTCCCATTTTTTCCATTATTCCCATTTTTCCCATTTTTCCAGGTCCTTACTCTCCTGAACACCCTGATCCGTTCCGGTTCCAGTTCCGGGGTTTCCTTGCAGTAATTGGGGTTTTCCCATTTTTCCCGTTTTTCCAGGTCCTTACTCTCCTGGCCACACTCATCCATTCCGGTTCCAGTACCGGGGTTTCCCTGCGGGAATGGGGGTTTTCCCATTTTCCTCATTATTCCCATTTTTTCCCATTTTTCCAGGTCCTTACTCTCCTGAACAACCTGACCAGTTCCGGTTCCAGTTCCGGGGTTTCCCTGCAGGAGCCCGGCGTTTCCCATTTTCCCATTTTTCCCATTTTTCCAGGTCCGTACTGTCCTGGACACCCTGACCCGTTCCGGTTCCAGTTCCGGGGTTTCCCTGTGGGTATTTGGATTTTCCCAATTTCCCATTTTTCCCGTTATTCCCATTTTTCCCATTTTTCCAGGTCCGTACTCTCCTGGACACCCTGACCAGTTCCGGTTCCAGTTCCAGGGTTTCCCTGCAGGAGCCCGGCGTTACCCATTTTTTCCATTTTTCCCATTTTTCCAGGTCCGTACTCTCCTGAGTAACCTGACCAGTTCCGGTTCCAGTTCCGGGATTTCCCTGCGGGAGCCCGGCGTTTCCCAGCCCCTCCCCCCCTCGTCGTTCCAGCGGTTTCTGCGCTCTCGGCCCATCCCGGGGGTGGTGCTGAGTGACCACCAAACACAGTTCCACAACAGGTCAGACACAGCCCCAAAATC